TCATTATATTACTAATTTGGTGCTAAGCACATTATTTATGTAGTCTTCTGTGAGTTTTTTTGATCAGAGCAAGAATAAAATTTCATATTCGAATTGATATCATTTGTTCTTTTTTTTTGTCTTCAATTGCACGTTTCATTTTCTTACAGAAAACCACTTAAAAACGGAAATTTTTGTGGACTTAGTTTTTTTCAAATGTTGAAATAATTAAAATGAAAACAGGAACAAATATTAGTCGCCATTCTCTTTGAACAAATGATTTTATGTACGACAACTGTCAATACAGCTGATGATTGATGATGAATAAAAATAAGAATTAAATGATTAATTAATGATATTCATTAAAAACATATTGATACCTGTTAACAAACTTGTGTGAGTAAGAAATTTCACAATCGATGCTTTACACTTCGATTTTAACCTCTATTAGCTGATAGGTCGAAATTTAAACTCTCTGATGTACATCGACAAAAGAAATCTTATTGCAATAAAAAGTAAATCTCTTTTGAACAATATTATATGTCAAACCTGAAACTTCAATTCAATTATTGAATATCTAACATTTGAAAAACTGAAATTTAGATATTTAGAAATTAAACTACTTACGGAATAACATATATTAAGCATCTTTTTTGATAAATAATTGAACAGTTGGATATCTTAATATCTAAAAAGTCATCAATCATTAAATTCAACTTTCAGATTTGACATTATTATATTTTTGGTATGCTTATTAGTACTTTTCTGATATATTTTCAATTTCATTCCAAATATTGTCGTTTGATGTTGAAGAAAAATTGCTATGGAACTCTATTAATCATATAAATAACTCATGGAATTCAATGTGATAATTCAAAAATAATTCTTCGAGGAACAAAGAAACAATAAACATATTTTTAGATATGAAACTATCTTTTCTTCAGTATTTTACAACAGAATTAATATCAAACTAATCAAAAACCTGTGAATATTCTAAAGATAAAAATGTTTACAATTGAAACAACATTGATCATATATATAAATATTAAATCTTATTAAAAGATGATACTGGATAATTTCTCAATCGAAAACAAATCAGAGATGAACTTATTAAAACATTTGGTTCATTTATGATTTTATGAAAAAACTATGTTTAATTCTTAATGAAACTGTATATCATTAAATAAAATCTTATTTTAATAATCAATGATTGTTTTTAATATGTTGAAACTTGTCAATAAAACTAAATAAAGACATTATTCAATAAATATTTTTAGTTAAGTAAATACGGGTGTGGATGTGGGTGAGTGTGAGTATGAACCTAAGTGTCGAGAAAATCTACACCAACACCCACACCCATACCTCACACCCATATCATATCCACACTTACATCCACATCCATACTTCACACCCACACCCACCCTAGGCATCGACATGTCTCCATGGTAGTCAATTTTATAAAGTAGAGGTTTATCATGACGTAATGCAAGCGACAAACCAGATATTTTGACAAGTGTTCGAAACAGTCGTTAAATCAAACCAAGGAGACGACTAATACTTGAAATAGAATTGATGAATAAGGTTACCACTAGTTCGACCTGCTCGTTGTTGATCAACATAAATGATACTCTGTGTAGAGTTGCCGATTGTTTCCATTTGACAAATGTGTATCATTATAAGTGCAATAACGAAAAGTAGCATCACGAAAGTCTTTATACTTAATATCTGGTTATTTTCAAAAGTTGGTTATAATCATTTGAGTACATCGATTATAAATGATATATTACTTCCTAAATTGCAAATTCTCTTCATTTGGTAATGAAATAGGATTTAGAGCCAACAAGATATCGAGAGAATATTGGAATAAGTTATTTCACTACATTTAACAACATACAATTATTTCATATAGCCATTACCTCATTAATATGTCTTTCAAATTCTAAAAGCCAGTTTTTGACGGATCAATGGGTTGCATATAGATCGATCATATTCAAATTATCATCAGGCACCATACAGAAGTGTTTGGTTCTCGCCTTCCATTTTGAGGTAGTGGGTGAATGTGAGTGTGCGTGTGGGTATGGGTATGGATATAGATATTTTCTTCATGTACACCAACACTCACACTCAAATATTTTCTTTTGTTTGAAAGCTTGTGTTCAGGACTAGCGACTCTGGTAGGCTTTTTTTTAAAATAATCTTTTCTATTATCATAAAAGATAACACCTCTATCGGAAGAAAGCACTTTTTAGGGAGGTTTTTTTGAGTCATTGAACTTTCGCTCCGTTTTTTTTCGCGTAAAAAGTAAGACTTTAAAAAAAAGCCCCGAGAATCACTGCATCCTGATCTGCTTTTTCAAACAAAAAACAAATTAAATATGTAGAATGAACGCTCACAGAGAAAACTGGGGTGTGGGTGTGCGTGTGGAGTGGGTGTGGGTATGAGTGAAGGGAAGATTAACACCCACACCCACCCTCTGTGAGACATTTTTCGCACAGTTTATTCATGTATATTAAATCTAGAAGTTCTCATGCATAATCTAAATATATGTTTAAGTTGCTACTTATAAAAAAGTGTTTGGCGTAAAAAAATATGGTTAAATAACGTCATTGATTTTTTTTCTTTCTTTAGAAAGAAAAACTATCAGGAATAACAGTAATATTGGTTGTTGTAAATACAATTATCAATGATACAGCTTTGTGTTTTATGTTTGTTGACATTTCTTCAAGACTTTTCTTCCTGTTCGAAAATAAGCATGAGAAATTCACATCGATAGTGATAATACAACAATATTTAATTGTGCGAATGGAAAAAAAGATGAAGGTCGACAACAGAACAATTTGTAGACTGTTTTTCAACAATCATTATCATTTTATTTCTTTCCTACATGTATGATGACAGAGCACTTGAGGTCTAGTCGCAGTAAAATGACGACGATCAGACAAGGACGAAAAAATATGGATCTGTCATCAACAATGAAATTTCTATTTTCTTATTCAATTAAAATAATAACAAGCTTCACTGTGTTAAGTATTTCTATCGATAATAAAATTAGTAGGCAAGTTAAAGTTTTTTTTTTCTTCTTTTTGTTTATGTATTTCCAGTTTAGTTCTTTATAGATTTTTCTTTTAGGTTCTTTTCCATGAAAATAAAAAGTAAAGAAAACAAACATTTCAAATAATCATAATTATCGACAAAAGTTGGTACAATATTCTTTTTCTAGACTAGAAATTCAACTTATAAGTTTGCAAAAATCACTAAAAAACATTATTATCTTAAGCACCATAGATCATAAATTTTTATAATAAGTATTAAAATTTTTGATGAACATCGAATATGTTATCAAGGTCTTTTTTTATTAAATAGTTCCTAAATATTATTGAGAAAAAGTTTCTGTTTGCTTGAGTCATGAGTTCACCACATGTTTAGAGTCGTATTTTTTCTTCATATAGAATGAAGAAGTGTAATGGTTGAACGAAAAAAAGAGAAAAATACTAAAAATAAAAACGTAAAAATAACTTGAGGTTTCAAGTTTCGTATATCTTGATATAGATAAAAGTGACTTATTTACGATAAAATCGATCCACAGACAAATATGTCACTTTTTATAACTACTATTCTATCAATATTGATATTAAGAGAATAATTTCTACTATTTTAAATTAAAAGAATTCTTTAGTAATCAAATCGTTATCTTATGAATAAAGTAATTGAAGTTATGGATGAATAACTCTGTGTATGTCTTGATGTAGTATCTAGATCGACAGAGATATGAGTTTCCTTCGTTGATCAATATGAGAGAAAAGAACGCCACACTAATGTTCCCTCTGTCTAAATCTTCTTTTTGAACAATTAGTTAGTTACTAGTTGTTCTTGTTTTTTATTCTTTTCTCTGTTCTCATTTTCTCTTAACCACTACTCACTGTCAATCTATTTCTTTTATGTCCTTATTTAATGGCAATTTACGAATCGTAAGATATATATTGATGAAAACATTATCCAATGGAATCTTTGATCGTGAAAATCTTTCTCTCCAAGTCTACATACATCCAGATGAAACTTATAGTCCCTTTTCATAGTTAAATTTGGCAGGGTACTTGCTATAGTTTGAACAACATAACTAGACTAAGCGTTGATCATGTGTATTGTTGCATAGTTTTGCTATCTTACGATGAAACACGCTAAAGAAATATATAAATATTCTATAACATCTATTTGAGTAAGAAAAACAAAAGCTATCTATTTCATAACTATATGATATAGATGCAAATCCATGTGATGTCTTTTGTAATTGATTTAATTTCTTTTCTTTATTGGTTGTACTAAATCAAATTGTCATTGTGTAGTCGCTATTGATATTCTCTCCTATAAAAAGAACTGGTTAGTGATGATCTCTGGTATGAACTGAATTCTACGTAGGATGTGAATATGGGTCTTCTCTTCACTCAAAATCACACCATACACCCATATCCCACACTCACCCTTGTTGACGTTCTCTATAAACATAAGAAAAGAGCAAAAAATGGTAAAAATAGCTTGACGCGCCCATCTTTGATATAGGAATAGTCACAAGTGTTTATTTTAATATTGAAATATGTTCATATCTCTTTCCAAGAGAAAATAGAAAATGATGTCTATCATTAATTATGTAAATAAACAATTTCTTCTGTTTACAACATTTTTAGTTAAACCCATTTTTTGTTGAGTTCGAAACGTGCTATCAAGTTTTCAATTACAAAAATATTTCAGATCTTTTTATAGAAAAAATATTAGATTGATCGCTATGTATTACTTTTTTGTTAACCAAGTTTTCTTTAGTTCTTCTATGGATTGTATTTTTTTAGTACATTAGATTGTGTTATGAGTTACAAAGATTCTTTATTTTCCAACAAAATATCAATGAATCAATTCATCAAATACCTCGTTTATACTTTACTTTCTTTTTCCTCTCTAAAATATATGAATCCAAAATATATTAATCACCTTTTTTTTTTATTTATTTTATTTCAATAATAAGAGAACAATCATAATGTTTTTATATTCGGAAAATAGGCTTTGAAATGTTCAGAATAATAAAATTTCTCAAAAATATGTATATCACTCAATTTAGAACAATTGATTCGCATTTCATTTCGTGTGAAATTATGTGTTGCTTGTCGTAGAACAGAATAATTGACAGAAAATGAGATGTTGTTCGATATAAACGTTTTTGTATTATCGAGAAATTGTTCGACATAATCAACGTGAACATATAAAAGTGAAAGTTGAATAAGATGAGGATAGTTAGCGATTGAGGAATCTTGATTATCGTCGTTTGATTTTCGACACTGTTTATATTTTTGAGCTGTCCAATTATTTACAGATAATATTTTAAGATATGGAAAAGCTTGAGCAATTCGAATGAAAAATTGATGTTCAAAAGGACGTTCATCAAATAATGTTATTTCGCGAACACATTTAAACAATCCACCTGGAAAATTATTTGTTATGTGTATATAATACGTCATTGTATATGGATATGAATACATATGACAGTGACCTTTTTTGATGCTTGGAAAATAATCAACGCAAGTAATAATTGGTTTATTTATGAAATTTATAAATGTTTGCTGAATTTGTTCTTTTAATGGTAAACAAGATTCATAAAGAGCATATATAACTGATCGAATATTAAATATAAATTTGTTTAATCGTGATACATGATTAATAATATTTTTCGTCAAATTATCCCCATCAATGAATTTTTCAGTGCTGTT